TAGATGGTAGGGGCTGCCACAGAGGACTCTGAACTCTCCATGGCAGGAAGAAGGCGAGACAGGCTGGCCTGGCTTTAAGACCCCTTTGTCCCTCATCCGAAATACCTGAGAGTAGACAATAAGTCAGAAGTGAGAGGACCCACCAACAGGCCATCGATTTTTGGTCATTTAGGCCTGATTGGGGTGCTTAACTGAACCTGGAAGCTCCAAGTAACATTATGTCATAGTAATATAAACTCCTAGAATGTAAACTCCAAGAGACCAGGGTTTAAGTGCTAAATTAATAGTTTTGGAATGAATGAGTGTCATCAAAGGATGGGAAACGCTGCTATTTTTGAGCTGGGAGGGAGTCCTCCTCCCCTCCCTCCCCCTTCTAACCTACCCGCACCCCTTCCTTCCTCTTACCCCATCTAAATCAGGTCTTAGCTTCTCTCATCTGGTCCTCATTCCAGCTGCCTTTCCCATTCCCCCACTCCCATACTCTCCTCTTCAGTCCATCCTCTCCAGCAGCTCGATTCACTTCAAGAAGATGCAAGCCCATTAGGTCGCCCCCAATTGCCTACACTTCCTAGCCTGCTCTTCAAGGGCCTTCTTCACCTGCCCCCTCTCTTGTTTCCTCTCCTATAGGTCCTACCTGCCCATCTGTCCCCTACCTCACATACCCCATGTTCCTCCAGCAATAATAGTCACATTCATTGAGCACTTATATATGTACTTTTACATGGATTATATTGTTTAAGCCTCACAACAATCTATGAGATCTCTGAGGGTGATGCTATTATTATCTCCATTTTATAGATAAGGAAATCAAGACCCAGAGACATTTAGGTTCTTACCCCAGGACAGCCAACTAGCAGATGACAGAGTTGGGATTCAAAACCATTCAGTCTGACCCTCTGGCCAGAGCACCTAACCTCTGCATAGTCCTAACCGGCTAAGTCTTGGGGCATGCCCTGGCTCCCCTGCCCTGGCTCACACTGTGACCCCACCTGGAGGGCTGTCCTTTCTATTGTCCACCTGCCAAAAACCTTGTTTGTCCTTCAAGGTCTCACTCATAGTTCACATGCTCTGTGAAGGCTTTTCCAGCTTCTCCAGAAAGAGCTGGTTTTTCACTCTTTGATTTTATAATTGAGAACTTTGTGCTGTGATTATTTGGGGACTTGTCTTCCCTGCCAGACTGCATGCTCCTTCGTGGGTAGAGATTGTGCTGTATCTCTCTCAAGTGTCTAGCACAAAGCCTGGCACAGAGTGGGTACTCTCTAATTGTTTGGTGACTGAATGACAGTGGCCCCAGGACTCCTCAATACACAGTTGGGGAAGAACTGCCAGGAGTCTCCAGTCAGAAGCTGGGAGGGAGGAGGAAGTTGCAGGCAGGGCCCCCAAAAGGGAGAGGCATCCATCTAGAGGGCAGCTGGAGACAATTTTACCAATGTCACCACATGTCCTTGGGTCAGGACTGTCCCCAGGCGATTCAGCTGGTGGGGAAGTTCCATACTTGCACTACTCTTAGAGGCCCTTGGGAACCAGCTGTCCCACCCCCAGGGAGATTTTCCCTCTTGAGATGCCAGGAACTAAACGAGAAGTAAAGCAGCCCTGGCATGGTCTCTGGATGCTACAGGAGGAAGCGCCTGTGCTGCCCCAACGTGGGCCCTTTGGACTTCAGAAACTACAGGGTTACATGGCTTGGTAAGAATGTAGTTTCTGGGTGGGTGAGGACATCCCTGGGGTGTAAGAGAAATTGCCCCATCCCCAGAACTATGGGGTAAGAACCATCCCAGTGCCTCTCAGCAGCCCTGTCACTGTGCCCTGGCAAGGACTGTGAGCAGGTTCTAAGCTTGATTCTCTGAAAAAGCCCTCAAGCCTTTCAGAGGGACCCCTATTTCTTTGGCCCCTATCCCTCACCCAACCAACCTCTTCCTCTATGGCTGCCTCACTCAGGAACTTACTGAGGCTCCCTATAGCTTTGGGTCCAAATGCCTCAGCCTATGATCTTACAACCCAAAGTCTGGGAGACAGGATAGTAGACAGGCTAGGAGCATGGGTTTGGGGTTAGCCCGGTATGAGTTCAAATCCCAGCTCACTGTGTGAACTCGGGTCATTCACTTCACCTCCTTGAGCTCCAGTCCCCTCATCCATAAAATAAGGTTAAAAAAATTTGACAACATCAAAATTTGTTCAATGGAAGGTACCACAGATCAGTTGTTCTCAAAGTGTGGTCTCTGGACCATCAGCATTACTTAGATACTTGTTATGTTAGAAATACAAATTCTCGAGCCCAACCCCTGCTCTACTGTGTCAAAACCTCTGGGAGTGGGGTTCAGCAATCTGTGTTTTAGCAAGTCTTCTGTGAGATTCTGATGCCTGAAACAGTTTGAGAGCCACTGCCATAGATAAACTTAACAGACAGGCAACATACTTGGAGAAGATATTTGGAACATCAATATCTAACAAGGGATTAATATCTAAAATTGGTAATCTACTTTTGCAAATTAACGAGAAAAAGACAAGAAACTGAACAGAAAATGAGCAAAAGATATGAACAAGCAATTCACAGAAGGGGAAGAGCCCAAATGAATGACAATTATAGAAGGAGGTTCAAAATCTCAGGATTAAAACAGAAAAATGCAAATTAAAACAGTGAGATGCCACCTTGCACCCAAACCAATTGTCAAAAATTACAAAGTCAGACGATGTAAAAGCTGATGAAGACGTGGAGAAATAGCATCCTTCATATGCTGCAGATGGAAGCCATTCTGGAAGAATTTAGTGAAATTTAAAATGTATATGCTCTAGGGCCAGCCCATGGCTCACTCGGGAGAGTGCAGTGCTGATAACACCAAGGCCACAGGTTTGGATCCTATATAGGGATGACTGGTTCGCTCAATGGCTGAGTGCGGTGCTGACAACACCAAGACAAGGGTTAAGATCCCCTTACTGGTCATCTTTAAAAAATAAATAAATAAATAAATAAATAAATAAAATGTATATGCTCTGTGATCTAGTAAGTCCACTCTTGGATATAGAGCCCAAAGAAATTTTCACGTAGACCCATGAAAGTCATGTACCAAGATGTTCTTCACAGTGTTGGTTGTGGTAAGAGTGAGTTGGAAGCAACTTGGGTGTCCATTGCCGGGTTAAAGGATAAATAAAACAGTGGTAGCTCAGCTTAGAATATTTTGCAGCAGTTGGATGCAATAAACTACATTTCCCCACAGCAATATGAGTAAACCTTAAAAATATTATGGAGAGAATAAAGGAAGCAACAGAATGAGATTCTCATACAATACCATTCATGCAGCGTAAATATGCACACAGAGCATTTCGTATCTTATGTCCAGGGACATTTATCAGCATGTTGGGATGGCTGCTCATGGTGGGGAGGGGGGAGGAGTGTGGGGAATGCATGGATGGGAGTGGGGTGGAGGGTGGATAAAGCATCAGAAGGGTCTTGCGTGGAACAGTGATAATGGGATGATCATTTGCCACAAACTGATTATGAATCATGAAACTCTCTAGACCTGAAGTCCTAATAACAATATTAGTTGAAAACTGGTGATAACAGTACTAACTTCGTGGTAAGTACATGTCTGGCCATGGAAGGCTTTGTAAAGTTTTACAAATATGTTTTAGTTTTTCTATGCCAGTCTCTAGCCCTCCTCTCATGCTTCGTTCCTTTTAGCCTCCAAGCCTTTTCTGAGGCTGTGCGAGTGCTGTGCAAGTCCTTATTCTGACTTGTCTATCTTTTCAACCTTGCCTTCAGATTTCTTTGACTAACCCCAACCCCTAGATGGCTGTCTGTGCAGTCTTGGGTATTTCTTGTTTGGGGCTCAAGCACAGAGCCAGGCTGGAATAGAGCTGTGAGGGACAAGTCCTGTTTCTTCTTCCCAAACTGTGAGCCCCTGAGGGTATTCTTAACATCTAGGGCTGGCTGGTTTGCTCAGTTGTTACAGCGTGGTGTTCTAACACCAAGGTCAAGGGTTCAGATCCCCCTATCTGCCAGCTGCAAAAAACAAACAAAAAAAATCTCACCCCACCTGTTTCCAATCCATTGTTGCCAGGTAAGACAGGTAAACTGAGAAAGTGTTCAGTGTGGAATGGAAAAGCATTTACTAAGTGCTTATCATATGCTAGACCCAGCAGTAAGGTCTTGACCTTCATTAATCCCCATGACGACCCTGTGAGGTTGTGGAGCTGCCCTCATTGGCCAGACGAGGAAACAGAGGCACAGAGAGGCTAGGACACTAACCAGACACGGGCCCCAGCTCTACTGGCTCCAAATCCAACATCCCAAATCCAAATCTGGCTCCAAATCCAAGATCTAAATAAGCAGCTCGGTCAGAGTCTTAGGGTCAGCACTGGGACCCAGATCACCCACCTGAGTCAACCTTCAGTGAAGGAAAACCTCTACTCCACGTTGATGCAATTTCTGCCACCAAGGGAGGGGAGACCCTGCCATTTACAGCCTTAAAAAGACTCTTCCCACTTTTTAGTATGGTCAGTTTGAGGTCATATCTGAGTTGAATCAGGAGGTTCCCTCAAGTTCCTTCCCCTCTTTTTGAACCTCAGTTTCCCAACCTCTAAAGTAGTATGAACAGTCTCTGGGCTCTGGAAGTTCTTTCCTCAGTCTGCCAGCAGGTGGAGCCCACTCTTTATCCCTCCGTGGGCCTCTAGAAAGCTGCAGAGAAGGGGGCATCCTGGGGCCGAACCTTCAGGGACACTGGAACAAAGTAGGTCCCCTGCCCATCCCCGGGCTGGTCAAGAGTCCTGCCGAGCACCGGGCGACTGCCCAGGGGTTTAGGTTACGGCTTCGCTCGCCCCCTGCAGGACATTCTCGGTACTGCAGGGACCGGAGCCCCAAGAGCAGGGACCGGAACCTGGGTGGAGACACCTGGCCAGGGGGTGAGGAGGGGTCCCTGAGGATGGGGTCCCACAGGCAAGGGCGAGTGGGACTCAGGGGCGGGCTGCCGCCTCCCTTTCCACGCCCTCTTCACGGGCGCTGGCTACAGGTAGTTGTTTTCGGCTGCGTCGCTCCCGTCCCGGGAGTCGTCGTCGTCGGGGGCCAGCGCCTCGATGTCGTGCGTGATGTCGGCCAGCAGCCGGTGGAAGGCCTGCGCCTCGGGCCGCTGCGCCGCGCCGTCGTAGCTGCGCACGGCCGACGCCGACGTGGAGCTCATGCTGCGCTTGATGCGGCCGAAGCTGTCGGTGAGGATGCCGCCCTCGCGGATGCCCACGCCCTCCAGGAAGCCCTCGAAGTAGCCGATGTCCTGGTCTGGGATGAAGGGCCGCATCCCTGCGGGCGGCAGGCAGGGTGATCCCCTGGGCTCAGCCCCTTCCCCTCCCACGGAGGAATCGCCCTCTCTGGAGATGGGAGTTCAAATCCCCGCTCTGCCACTCACTGGCTGCGTGGCCTTGTCCGACTTTCTCCCTGGGCCAGCGAATAATGACACAGTACTCAGCACCCAGGAAATGCTCACTACATCTTTGATTATTATTATTACAACTGTTATATTCCCATTTATTTGCTGCGTGACCTTCATTAAATAACTACTCTGAGCCTCACCTTCCTCACCTGTAAAACTGAGATAATCGCACCTGTACTCCCGGTAGGGCTCTGAGGGTTAAATAACAAGGTACTTAGCACATACTGAGCGCCCATAAACATTAGTTCATTTTACATCTGTCCCTACTTACTAGCTGTGTGACTTCTGCACTTTACTTTCCTCCTCTGAGCCTCAGTTTCCCCACTTACAAAATAGGGACAAATAATAGTATCTACTTCCCAGAACTGGGGGCATTCAATGAGATGATGCTTGGCACATGGTAACTGCCAAACACATGTTAGCTTATTAGTGTCGTTATTCCTGTTGTTTTTAGCCCTCCTGACTAGCTGTGTAACCTTGGACAAGTTCCTTAGCCTCTCTGAGCCTCAGCTTCCTCACAGGGTAAGATGGAAAGAATCATTCCCTCTTCCAGCTTTGCTGTGAAGATGAGATGGCTACATCCATGCTTCTTATCAGCTGTGTTTCCTGGCTCTGTTACACGTCCTTTCCCTCCTCTGCACCTTGGTCTCCTCATCTGCTCCTTGGATCTCATGGTAAAACACTTCCAACCTTGTGCCTGACTGGGAATGGCATGGACCAAGTAGGGGCCTTAGCCAACCCCAGGGGGCTGAGTAAGGGGGCTCACCGAGGAGGAGGAACTTGCGCCTGTCTCCATAGAGTTTCAGCAGGCCTGCACAGTAGTCCTGGATGGGCAGCCCCAGCCGGTACTCTCGAAGCAGCAGCGCAAACTGCTGGATCTCAGGGGGCCCCAGCTTACTCCGCAACTGTGCAGGAACACCATTCAAGATCAATTCCAGAATGCAACCCCACCCAATCCCTGCCTAAAAGCTCCAGAGCCCCCTTTAAGGGCATGAAAACTTTCCTCTGAAAACTCCACAGCCTACGCGGGGGACATCCAGATCCCTTGGGCTAAGAATGGGATGTGGACTCAAGCTGACTTCAAATTCTGGCCCCTTCATTGGTCAGTTCTGTGATCTTGGGTAGGTGACGAGCCCCCTGGCCCCTGCTTTTCTTACCTACAAACTGAGGATAATGGTGGCATCTCCCTCTTGGGCTTGTTGAAAGGATGAAAAGAAATGATGCACGAAAGGTACTTAGAACAGTACCTGGTATATAGCAAGCACTCAATTAATGCTAGCTGACATTAGTTAATGCCTTTCACAAGCCAGCTTCAGTTTGTTCTCCTAACCTCACCTCCTGCCCTGATCTTATGCTGCAGTTATGTCCAGGCCTATGCATGAAATACCCCATGTTTATTCCAGCCCCCAGGCCTTTGCTGGTGCTGTCCCCACGGCCACCTCACCGTGATCATGTAATCCTGTAACTGCTCAAGGCCCAGGCCACTGTGGTCGCTGCTGCTGCAGTGGGAGCCATGAAAAGAGGGTGTGGACGTGCCACTGTAACAAGCTTCAAAAGTGTCCTGGGAGCCATTGCTGTAGGGATAAGAGAAAAGGGGCCTTGAGTCGCCTCCCTTCAGCTCTTCTCCCTGAAGCAGGCTAAAGGAGGGCAGGCACAGCTATGGATGCTCTGGGCCTAGGCCTCCTCCAGACCCCATCTTGGCCTCTAAGGCCTGGCACGATCTGGCCCCTGGCCCCCTCTCAAGCCTTGACTCCCACTGTGTTCTTTGTGCTCCAGCCACCCTGCCTTCTCCTTTTCCTCCGCTATTCCAAGTACCTCCTCACCTCTGGACTTTTGCACATGCTGTCCCTCCCCTGGAATGCCTCTCTCCCCTACCTTTTGCTCAGCTAACTCTTATCATTCAATCCTAAATCACCTCCTCAGGAAAGTGTTCCCTGATCCCCCCAGGCTGGGTTAGACTTTCCGTCAAATGTACTCACTAACTCTGTAGTCTACCCATGACATGAAAGAACTTTCCAGATACCCCACCAAACACCTCTCCAACCACTCTCTCCCACACAGCCTCTGCTGTAGCCACAGTGGCCTCCTGCCTGCTCCTCAAATGCACCAAGCCTTACCCTATTTAGAGTCCTTGAACTTGCAATTCCCTCTCCTGAAATGCCCTTTCATCCTCCAGGTCTTGGTTCAAATGTCATCACTTCTGAGAGGCCTTCCTGATTCCCCAGATGAGACAGGGTCCCCCCCTCAGCCTCTCCTGCAGCACGCTGAGCTTCTCTTAGTGCTTATTACTATTAAATAGTGATTTCTTTACCTCCTGTGCTAAATTACAAACTTGGCAAGAGCAGGGGCCTTGGTTTTCTTCATTTGTTGAGTACCTACTATGTGACAGGCATGTGTCTTGCTGTCTTTTTTTTTTTTCTTTTTGCTCTCTGTCTTGTTTCCTGCTGTATTCCCAGCACACAGCACAGTGCCTGGCACACAGAAGGTACTCAATAAATATTGCCTAATAGATCCCCTTACCAGCCAGCCACACACACACACACACACACACACACACACAAAGCCCAATAAAAAGTCAACCTTGGGCCCCTGGCTCCTGATCTCCAAATTGATCCAGAACCATCTTCCATTATTACATACAGAGAAGCAGTGTAGCTTCATGGTTAATGGTGTGGACTCAGGAGCCAACCTGCTTGCGTTCAAATTCCAGTCCTACAACTTACTAGCTGCTTGACCTTGGGAAGTTAAACTTAATTTTTCTATTTCTCAGTTTTTCCATCTATAAAATGGGATGATAGAAATTGTTGTCATTGTGAGATTTAGAGGAGTTAATATTTGTAAAGCACAGAGTCATGGACTTTAAGTAATAAACAGTAGCCACTGTAATGTTGCTATGTTGACAAAAAAATTAAAAAGTGCTTTAGAGAACAGCACTTGGCAAAGAGCAAGCTCAATAAATGTTCATTATCATGATTTTCATCTCTCCAGCACATATTAGGTTGTTTAAGGACTAGCCTAAGGGTACACAGTATTAGAAAGGCAAATCTATTGTCACTAAAAAGGAAAGAAAAAAAAAGACCAGGACACATATCACTGGCAGAGACTGCTATCTGCCAACCCAGAGTCCGTAGTAATATTACTAGGGTGATCAATTCATACCAGTTTGCCCAGAACTTTCTTGGCTTTATCACTGAGAATCCCATATGCTGGTAAACCCTCGTTGCTGAGAAAATGATTAGTAACCCTAAATAGAACCCTGTGCAATGTTCCCAACTGAAATTGGTTTTAATCCTAAATTTTCCAGCCTTGTTTGCAGCTAGTTATGGCAATGCGGCCATGCTCAGACCAATGAGATATAAGCAGAAGTCATTGGATGGAGATTCTGGCAAAGCTCTTTAAAGAGCTCCCTGGCATGCTACTGTGATGGCTGGAGCTACTGCCACCATCTTGGTCCATGAGATAATCTTGACGATGGAAGCAAGTGCTGAGGAGGGTGGGACAGGAAAAAGAAGCCTGGGCCCCTGATGACCATGAGGCCCTGAATTCCTGCTCTATTTTATGTAAGAGGCAAGAAAAAAAGCTCTGTCCTATTTAAGCTACACTTTTTTTTTCCCCCTTTTTGTCTTTTTTCGTGACCGGTAACGGGATCACAACCCTTGGTGTCACGCCTGCACCACGCTCAACCAGTGAGCGGACCGGTCTCTATATGGGATCCGAACCCTCGGCGGGCAGCGCTCCCAAGCGCCGCACTCTACCGAGTGCACCACGGGGCCGGCCCTAAGCTACACTTTTTTTTTCCCCCTTTTTGTCTTTTTTCGTGACCGGTAACGGGATCACAACCCTTGGTGTCACGCCTGCACCACGCTCAACCAGTGAGCGGACCGGTCTCTATATGGGATCCGAACCCTCGGCGGGCAGCGCTCCCAAGCGCCGCACTCTACCGAGTGCACCACTGGGCCGGCCCTAAGCTACACTTTTTAAGGGTTTTCTATTACATGGAGCCAAAACTAAAGTAAACCAAAATTATTCTTTGACATTAGCTGTGATTTTGGACTCTGGAGGCCCCTGGGCCTGGATGACTGGGAGAGAACTGCAGGCCTATCTGGACCCGGGTCTGGGTTCTGGTGTTCCCCTGGGCCTCTCAGGGCTCTGGATCCTGCAAGCCTGCCACAGCCTGGGGCTCTCCAACCCTCAAGACCTAGTGTCTTGAGATTGGGTCACTTTCCCCTACCCTCTCTGGAGGAGTTACCCTGCTTGTGCAGGAGTAGGGGAGCAAAAGCGGTGTCCCCAACACTGGTGGTACCCACAAGGAGCTGCAGCAGCTGAAGTCAGCATCATAGGCATAAGTCCCATCCGTGTGGCAGCTCTCACCTGTGAACAGCAGACAGAGGGACCGTCAGAGGCAGCAAAGCAGGCACCAGCATCCCTGGTTCCCAAGACCCTGAACTTGGACTTACTCTGGGGTCTAGGCCTCCCCCCCTCAAAAAAAAAACACAGCCAACCTTGGGCACCTCCCCTCCCCTTGCCTGGTTCTCAACTTCCCCACCTTCCTGCCTACCTTATGGGGGCCTTGGAAATAGCAGCTGAAGGAACAGTGAGGGAGTGTTTTGTAAACTGTATCTGCCTGAGGCAGAGAGGAGGAAGGAACTCAAAATATTCAGAGGAAAGAAGCACCACTTACAGAAAACTTGTTCTCTTCCTGGCCCTGTGGTCTCATTTATCCAGGGGCTGGCTTCACTTCTTTTTTTTTTTTTTTTTTAAAGATGACCGGTAAGGGGATCTTAACCCTTGATTTGGTGTTGTCAGCACCACACTCTCCCAAGTGAGCTAACCAGCCATCCCTATATAGGGATCCGAATCCATGGCCTTGGTGTTATCAACACCACACACTCCCAAGTGAACCACAGGCCGGCCCTGGCCTCACCCTTCTGATCTCAGCTCATTCAATGTCACTCCCTCACCCTGACTTCCCAGGCGAAGCAGTTCCTCAGTATATGTTCCCATAGCACAGTGTGTGGTTATCTGTTTGTGTAGTTATTTAATTTCAGCTGGCCTGCCTCAGCAATGCAAGCTTCGTGAAGGCAGGGCCACATCTGATTTTGCTCACCAGTATACCTTGGCAATTAGCCCTGGATCTAACACATAGTAGGTGTTCAATAAGTATTTGCTGAACAAATGAATTTGTTGAAATATTTGTTGAATTATCTCATTTGTTTGCCTATCATCCATGAGTGGGTCGATGAACTATCCCAGCTTCCCAACAGGCACAGCTCCCACAGATGGGAGGGCCTCCAGGAGAGAGCCAGCACCCTGTTGCTGGAACTATGCAAACGGGTCTCGCTGCAGAGGGCTGTGACTGAGGGAATTCATCTAATAGCCTTGAAGGCAGCACGGGGAGTGAAGTTATTACAAATAGAAGCTTTAGAATCAGATAGACCTGGGTTTGAAGCCTTGTGGGACTGGTGGCTCAGTAAGCAGACAATACATGTGTTTAGTTCTCTTCCAATCAAGAACACCAAAAACAGGCCAGCCTGTGGCTCACTCGGGAGAGTGCGGTGCCGATAACACCAAGGCCAGGGGTTTGGATCCCATATAGGGATGGCTAGTTTGCTCACTGGGTGAGCGTGGTGCTGACAACACCAAGTCAAGGGTTAAAATCCCCTTACTGGTCATCTTTAAAAAAAAAAAAAAAGAACACCAAAAGCAACAGAGAGAAAAGTTTGACTCTGAGGAGCTTGTTCTGAATTGGCAACCTGAACATCTTTGAAGAAGCTAGGTTTGAGGTCATCATGAAAATCTACATCTGATTTTACCTACATATTAGGTTACACTGTAATTGTAGAGATCAGGACCCCTAAAGGCCTTCATCAGTCCTGAGTCCTGGGGTATCCTCCCTCCCGTGGCCTTTTAGGATATTTTACAGGAGGAAAGGCCAGGAGTTGGGGTACTCACTGCGGCTGCAGAGCCATGGCCGTTCGGGTGTGGACATGTAGTGGTAGCCGGCCCGGTCCACGCACTCAATGCTCTGATCCCCGTAGATGATCTGGAAGACCTGACAGATGAGCGCACAGGACTCCTCGGCAGCATCCTGGCCCAGGGAGGAGGAGAGAGAGCTCAGTTCTTCACCAATGACCAGGACACCCCCTACTTTTTCAAACACATTATGAGGAGGCTCACAGAGACACACACCTATGGACCCCTTTAAATCAACTTTGAGGACATTTCGAATCAAAATCATATGGTCACTCTCCGGATCTTGCGACCCCTTTATGGAATCCAGTGACAACTCTGACTCCTCTGACATGAAAAATGCACCCCAGATTTCTGGGGGATTCATGGACCCTCCTGAAGCTTATTTAAAATAAGCCTTAATTTAATTTAATATACAGGTATGAAAGCTGAGGCCCAGAGAAGAAAAGTGATTAGCCAGGACCAGAACTGAGGTCTCCTAATACCTAGTAGGATGAGGGATAATTAAGTGTTTCAAAATGTTAGGCTCAACATAATTACTACTGCTCGATGCCATACTTAAAACGGAGCTTCCTGGCACCCAGTGCAAAAATGGAAGAAGTATGAATACATAAAGTTCAATGTCTTATAGAAGGAAGGAGTTTAAGTTCTCCAGTGAAACTTTTTTGAGATTGCAAGTTTGAAGAGGAATTTACCTCTTTAATTTACACAGAAAGACAATAACTGATGAAGAGACCATCCTCATGAAGCTATTTCCTATTTTGTGTCTCTAAAAAAGCCCAAGGTGTAAATTAAAATGTAACTCAGGGGCCGGCCTGTGGCTCACTTGGGAGAGTGCGGTGCTGATAACACCAAGGCCACGGGTTCGGATCCCATATAGAGATGGCCGGTTCGCTCACTGGGTGAGCGTGGTGCTGACAACACCAAGTCAAGGGTTAAGATCCCCTTACCGGTCATCTTTAAAAAAAAAAAAAAAAAAAAAATGTAACTCAGGATAGGCATTTTGGGATAATGGGGATGTACTAATCACTAAACCAAGATCGATCCTTACAATGATGCTACAAAATGGACAGGGCAGAGAGGACCCTTATTTTATAGTTAAAGACATTGAGGTCGAGAATGATTGAGTGACTTGCCAAGGCTCACACAGCAGGTTCATGGCATTAGTTAATACTGGTACCCAGGTTTCTTGACTCCAACTCCTATATCCTCTTTGGGACCATGATGCCTCAGATAGGAGGCCAGAGGCTCAGAGTTGCCCTGGAAAGCAACTCTTTATTTACTCATCCCACAAATTCTCATTTAATCCTACTGCATGTCAGGCACTGTGCCAGGCTCTGTACCCTAAAGCCCTCACAGTCCAGAGGGATAATCAAGGCACACTGTTGCCTCTGTCTGGTATTTCCCTTCCAGGCTCTTCACTCTGACTCCTCCCTCTCCTTCACCTTTCAATTTAAACAGCACTAACTCACTTTCCGTATTGAAAATGGATCTCCCCGGGCCGGCCCGTGGCTCACTTGGGAGAGTGTGGTGCTGATAACACCAAGGCCACGGGTTCGGATCCCATATAGGGATGGCTGGTTAGCTCACTGGCTGAGCGTGGTGCTGACAACACCAAGTCGAGGGTTAAGATCCCCTTACCGGTCATCTTTTAAAAAAAAAAAAAGAAAAAAGAAAATGGATCTCCCCCATTCACTGAAACCAGCTTTTCTCCTCAGTCCCCATGGCAATGTATAATAATATATCATGCATTAATTAATCCATTCATTAAGCAAATGTTTATTGAGCATCTATTATGTACCAGGCACTGTTCTAGATGATGGGGGTACCACACTGAACCACCCAGAACACACAGGTTTCTTGTACTCCTCAAGGAGGTCAGCCTGGACAGAGTGGAGTGCATAAAGTGGGAGTATAGACAGAGATGAGGTCAGAGAGGGAATGGGGTTGGTGACTGAGCACGGATGGCCTTGTAAGCAATTGTAAGGATGACAGCTTTTACTCTGAGTGAAATGAGGAGCCATTGGGAGATTTGGAGCAGTGACACAATGTGACTTATGTGTTAACAGGACCGCTCTGTGTTGGGAAGAGACTGTAAGCAAGGGCTGAACCAGTGAGGGGGTGACTACATGATCCAGATGAGAGAAGGTAGGGCATAGGCCTGGGCGGGGACAATGGCAGATGGGGGGAAGTGGATGGGCTTTGGTTATATATAAAAAATAAGGACCCACATGACTTATTGACAGAGTGGATATGGGGTGTGTGTGTGTGAGAGAGAGAGACAGAGACAGGAGAGCCAAGGAGAACATCAAGGTTTTGGCCTGAGCAACAGAAGGACAGAGCTGCCATTTACTGAGTTGGGGAGACCAAGGGAGTAGCAAGTTTGAGGGAGAAGACTGAGAGCTCAGCTTTGGACGTGTTAGCTTTGAGATGATCATTAGATCTTTGCATGGAGAGGCTGAGTGGAAATTTGGTGAGAGACAGGATTTGGGGAGTTCTAAGTGTTTTAAAAGCCACGAGGCTAGAAATCACCTAGAAATGAGTGTAGATAAAGGAGAAAGGACGACCATGGATTAATAAGCCCAGGGCACTCCAACTTTAAGAGGCTAGAGAGAAGAAGAGGAAGCAGCTCCTGAGAAGGAACCAAGGAAAGCCAAGAGAATGTGTCGAGTTGGAAGCCAAGTGAGAAAGTGTTGCAAGGGGAGGGAATCAGCTATGGTGTCTTTTACTCTCCCTCTAGACAGGCACCGTGCCTGTTTTGTTCACCACTGTTTATATACAGAGGGCATCAGTGGCCCTGAGTCAGAGGAAAAGCTTAGAAGGCTCAAGGCTTGAAGGTATCTGCTAGACTGTAAGCTCCCTAAGGGAGGACACCAAACGTCTGGTTTACCTCTGTATCCATAGCATATAACCCAGTGCCTAGCACATAGTTGGCACTCAATAAACATTGTCACATAAATAAGCAAGGGTGAATGTGGAGGATAGCACGAGGAGGAGGGAAGGCAAGAATGGTAAGGCTTCTGCCTTGGGTGACTACCTGAGTTACCAAGAATACCGGCTCTGAACTTCCTGGGTTTAAATCATGAAATCACCACCTGCCTCCGGTGTGACCTTGCACAAGTTACCTAACCTCTGGATCTGTTTCCTTCTCTATAGAATGGGGAGAATTGTAATATTTGTGAGAATTAAATGAGTTAATGCTATCCTGTGTCTGGCACGGGTTGGCACTCGATTTGCGCTGGTATGATTGGTGTCGTGATTGTTACTGTAGTGGTGCCACTATTGGAGAAGGAGCAGGGCTGGAGGAGGGGGTTAGATCAAGTCTGTTTTGGCCATTCTGAGTTTTCATCCTACTGGGGGAGGGGAGCCAGAGGGAGGTGTCCTGGAGGTGTCCAAGGCTGCAGTTTAGAAGTCATAGGCACACCTGAAAGTCCTGGGTGAGGACGAAGGAGGGAGAAGGGAAAAGGCAGGGGCAACGCTCAGGAACTTCGCGAATGGGATGGGGTGGGGCGGGACGGGGCCCGGAGAGCGGCGTCCCCGAGGCAGGGCTTTGGTGCGCGGGGTGCCCTTTGGGCTCACCCTGTTGGCCACAGCCAGGATGACCAGGTTGCAGTAGGCGTCGGGGCTGGGGTCCTGCGGGTCGAGCGGGTTGGAGCCCGGGTGGCGCCGCTCCCAGCTGCCGCCGCCGCCCGCCTGCCTCCGCTCCCAGCTGCCGCCG